TCTTAGTAAAATCTTATCTCAAATCTTAATGAATTTTGAATGAAATCCTAAATCTTAAATCAATCTTAATAAAATCTTGAATCTTAAATAAATCCTAATGAAGTTTAAGTAAAATCCTAATCAAATCTTAATCAAATCTTAATTAAATTCTAATTAAATTCTAATAAAATATTAATCAAACCTATAAAAATTCTCAAATATTTAATCAAATCCTAAATAAATCTTAATTAAATCTTAGATCAAAAACTAATTCTAATAAATCTATAATTAAATTCTAAATCTTAAACAAAATTCTTTACAATCCTATAATAAATTAAAAATTTAACAACTAATAATTAAACTATCAATTTTGAGTCAAACTTTGTTTACCTTGAAATAACTAAATTAACAACAAGCACAAAAAATTTGAAGAAGTTCACACATACCAATAGCAAGAAAAGCTCTCCAAACTTCTTGGTTATTGATTGCTCTCCTTCTCCAACTTGAACTTTGATATTTCAATGCAGATTTCTCCTTGTTAAAATATTCAATTGTTCCACAATTTAGCTTTTATGTACATATTTTAGTCTAAATTTCTTTCACTAATTTTTATTTCAATCAAATTAGCAAATATTTTCATATTATAAAATCTTTTGTTGGCCCTAAATCTCAATTATCGAAGACTATAATCCACAAAAATCCTCATACACTTCAATTTAACTACTCAATTGACCTCAAATTTTTTACACATATTTATAACAAGCATAAAAAAAAATTCTAATTTTTACTTGTAAATACATTACAAAACTTATAAAATCTTAAAATTTATAAACTTATTTTTATTTTTTAAAATATAAATTCACCAAGTATATTATTAACTTTAAAAATTCTTCAAAACTTGAAAATTATTTCAAAGATATAAAACTAATACCTCAATAATAATCAAATAACAAGGTGGTCTTTCTACTCTCATATGGGATACTATTAATGATTGAAAGAACCTATCAACCACCTTTAAAAGAAACAAAGATAAAAATATGTGATAAATATAATTTCCCGCATCTTAAACTTCTTCAATATATAATGATTGCTCCTCATAGAACTCATTCCTAGAAGAAGGGATAATATCACAAACATACATATTTATTTTATTAAGAAGTGCTAGATAGAATATAAATGTAAGTAAATTTAATGTTATCTTATGACATAGCTTTTTAAAAGCTTCATAGATGCATATTTGACTTTATACATGTTTATAACTAATTGGTAGATTAAAAACTTTGCCAAAAAATTAGCTATGTATCATATGTGTAAGGAGCTTGTTATATAAGTTTACAATGTGGCATGCATGTAAGAAACTTGTATTGTAAGTAAAACCTATATCTCACAAATTACACACATGTTGAAGGTCTTATAGAATATTGTTATGTAGCTTCTAGTTAAATTATATATATATATATAGAAGTAAGAGTGAAGCATTTTTCACTCTTGCTAATATTTTTTTAGTCTTTAGTCTTATTTTTAGACTTTTCAGTCTTCTTATCCTTGAGAATAGCCATTTTAATTTAATATTATATCATCTTTGTGTGAATCTTTAATCTTTTCAAGTAATAGAAGAATATATTGATATTTTAATTCTCTGAGATTTATGTTTTTGATAAAGTCTTACGTTTAAAATAATATTGAAATAGGTTATGATATCCTATATATTGGCACAAATAAGATATTAGTGAATGCACATAGAAGCTATGTAAGAATCTTACAAATGCAATAAAAAAAAATTGATGCTTTTCATTAATGACATTCATCAAAATCAAGATAAAAAGTCAAGTAATTTTTTGCTTTAAAAGAAATTAAATTTAGTAAAGATTATATTCTATCTTCTAACCTTATTTGTAGTTTTTTATGTATTTGAGATGTTAAGAAGATGAATATAGATATTATTAATCTAAATCTTTTTTTTTACTTATTATTTATTTTAAATAATTAGCAGATTCAAATCAAAATCTATTATTTTCTGAGTTATCAAATAATACATTTAAGTTACTACAATCTTTAAGATAACATAATAAAAATGAAGAAACTTAAGAACATATATCTTTTTTCAAATATATGGTGAGATGTAACGTGTTTGAGTCAAGGACATAAATCTCAAAGAACTAAAAGTTCAATACAATCTTATATTACTCAAAAAGACTAAAAAAACCATTCAAAGATAATATAATATTAAACTAAAATGGCTATTGCTAAAGTCAAGAAGATTAAAAAGCCTTGAAATAAGACTAAAAACTAAAAAAGCATAGACAAGAATGAAAAAGGCTTCACTCTTTTTTCTATATATTATTTAACTAGAAACTATGTAGCAATGTCCTATAAGACCTCCAACATGTGTTGATTTTATAAGACATGTATCTTAACTTATAAGGCAATTTTTCTATATGTGTACTACATAGTTAGCTTATTCCATAAGCTACCAACACGTGTAACATGTGGTTAACTTATTAATCAAGTTTCTAAGCTACAAACACATTGTCATATCACATGATTTGCTATTTTGGAATACACTGGGTATCTAGCTATAGAGAGTTTAGCTTAAAATTTTATATGAATTTTGTCTTAACTTCCAAAACTCCTTAAATTTTCATACAACTCAAAATATAATAAAATCCCTTCAAAACATATCTTTTTCCGAAAGGGTTTTCTCTTTTGAAACTTTAGAAATTCATAACTCTTGATCTAACCATTCAATTTTTCTAAAATTTATAGAATAGATAGAATTCACCCTTAAGTTTTACCACAAATTCACTCCTAATCTTCTGACATCTAAAAAACCCTAGCAGATGCTCTAAACCCTAATTTACAAGCATCTGAGCACTATTTTCTTAATATCTCAAGAATCCAATACTCAAATATCATAAACCTTATGTAAAAAGTTTACTAACATGAATTTACACATTTCTTGAAATTTTTAGCCAAAACCTTATCAAATTGCTGAAGCTATAGCTCAAGACTCAACTATTAGTAAATTGAGTGACTTACTACCCTTAGATTGTATGTGCTGACTTCACAATCCAATATCTCCTTCATTCGAACTTAGAATCCAGCAAGCAGTATATAAAAAGCATAGCTGCAAAAGTGTTCTCTCCAATCTCAGTTACTAATCCTCAATTGCCTTCTGTATGTGTGCATTATGTCAAAAGAATGACAATAGCTCTCAAATCAACACCTTAACTTTGAGCGCCTATATTTCCTTCATATAAACTCCAAATCATACAAGATTTACACCAAAACCATAGCCAAAAACCTAAACTTACTGACCCTAGCCTTCCAAGCATGAATGGCTCCAAAAAACTAATATAGCCTTAGGCAGCCTCCTCAAAGCCTATTGGTCATGATTTTTGACCAATAAGAATGGAGATTTTCATCATCCATCTCCATTCATATATATGGATGCCCTAAACTCTCTTTGCTACTAAAACCCTTCTTCAACCCTTTTTCTTATAAGTTTTACATAATTTATGCTCTAAACACCAAATAAGAGAATCAAAATAAGTTTTCAAAGGTCACCAATGTCTAACAAAGGTGACTCTAAATATTTAGAAGTTACTATCAATCAAAACCAATCTTAAAAACTACTATCAAAAGAAAATAAAGTTATACAAATTCTAATAGTAATATTTTTAAACAACCTCTTTTCAAGGTAATAATCAAATTATATTCTACAACCAACTAAAATCTACTAACATGGCTCTCACCATGTTACTTAGTAAATTATATATTAAGTACATAATTACATTATTTTCATATAGTAGTTGAACCACAATACGACAACGTGTGAATTCAAAACCACGTCTATGAAGCTTCCAAAAAGCTTCTCAAGAAGATATTATGAAATTAATCTACTTATACCTACTCCTATCTAATCATATAAGTAATTATTGAAATAAATATGTATGTTTGTGACAATATGATATTATGACCTTAAAAAATAATATATATATATATATATATATATATATAGATTATATATATGTATATATATTTTAAATTTATTAATAAAAATTAATTTTTTCTATATATGATATAGTTAATTTTAATAAATTTTAATAATCAATCTTTTAACTATTCTAAAAAATTTCGTATTTTTATTTGATTATTTGAAAAATATAAGCAAAAAAATTAATTCTTTAAATAATATCATATACAATTTTTGATCATATATACTATTAAACTTGAAAAAAGTCTCTTTAATGCACATCTATTCATACATGCACTTATTATTTATAAATTTATAAATTATTATTTTTATATTATATTTATATATAGAAATATTTTTTAATTAATTAATACTTACTTAGATTATACATAACTATTAGAAAATAAATACCTTAAATTGATTAGATGTTGAGTAGAAGAAGCATTTAAGAACTTTTGCCAAAGAAGTCTTATAGAATTCAAGTTGTAACTCAACAATGGCATATTTTATAAAAATATATCAAAATTATGTCGGTGAATTGCAATTTCTAAACAAACAAGTTCTACAAACCAAATAAATATTAATGTATTATAAACTAGACTTCTAAAATGAAGTGATTTGTATTTATTTTGAAATAAAAGAATTTCTTTGTGATTATTGCATAATAGAATATTAAAGGAGAATATTCAAAAATTAAGAACCAAAATCCTTCAATATTCTTATACTATAACATTCCAATTCTAAATAGAAAAAGCAAGGACTCAAAACCCAATCCAACAAAAGAAGAACTTTGTTTAGAATTTTGAGAAGGGATTTCTCTTCAAGAAGCTTATAAATCTAAATAGGAGAATAGACAAGCCATTAAAGGGAGGTGAGAGAAGTTGAAGAGAAAGAGAAAGAACAAGACATTTACTTGTGCTGTATGTGACAAGGCTTAGGCAAGGAACACATGGCAAGTTATTGCAAGAACAAATCCAGAGAGCATAGACAATGACACTTAGTTTTCTACTACTCCTACTACAACTAAAATAATAAAAACAAAAACTTTAAAAAGTTAAAATTTATAAAAAACAATAATAGCAATACTTGTTTGTTCCTTTCATATAACTGTTATTGATAGGTTGCCTAATCTGCCTAAAATTTATATAATAAGCTAAGAATTAAATTAGTTTTAGAGTTGAACCAGTTTTGTAAAACCTAGCTTCAATTTCACGGTTTTGTATTCGATTTAAAGTTGAATAGGGAACAATGACCAATCTGTATATATGTATGAGTATGTATATATATATATATATATATATATATATTACACAAAAAATAGTTCTGAATGGGGGACCCGCCAACTGTCGGGATGAAATGCCTGGTCTAATCTTGATTGTTCTTTCTCGCTGGATCTGAAGATCTTTAATGACCATATTGAACAAGATCTGTGCATGCAGCGACGCTTCCTCTGACCGGAGGCCAAGCCCGAACAGGACGATTCAACAACTGATCAATTATAGCCAACCATCAGAACTCAGTAAAAGATAAGAATTAGTTTTTTTTCTCATCTCCATGAATGCAAGCTTCTCTTTCCGATAGGCAACTAACTTAGAGCAAACTATCCTCTAACTCAGAGCCTTAGAAACGTAAGCCCTGTAACACCATAGTTCTGAGAGCAAAGTTTTTAAACTACTGGACCTGATGTTGACGGAAAAGCTAGAATTGAGCCTGCGTTGGCAGCATTCCCAGTAGGGGTAGAGGGACCCTCAGGCGGCATAGTGGACACCATGCCAACCCTCTCAAATAACCCATGAATCTTGTTGAGAAGAAGCATCTGAGACGGATCTGACCCCTTCAGAAAGCGCACAGCATCCGGACCCTGGAACATGTCATCAATCATAAATACCAACAGTGTAAGAAATCGTACATATATATATATATATATATATATATATGTCGCTTAGTTCAAGATATCTCTCAAACTGTTCAATTAGTCACCATCATGATGCGACTTCTTATTCACTTCATAAGCTCTTGGCAAGAGATCAACCATTGGGTCAAAATTACACGTGAACACGTTGACACCTACCCATTAGCCAATCCCTATTTACATCCTAATTGCAACCAAGAATAAAGAGACATAATTCCTGCTGACACTCAAACAAGAAAACTTATTGGAATTTCCGGACTTTCCACTATATTGCCCTTGTAAAAAGCCTTCCACCGATACAAAGAAGGCAGGTAGGTGGTCTGAAGGCTTTCGAGGGCCACGTTTAATGTAAAGTCGAATAGCAAAACTTATGCATTAAAACTGGAGCTGTGCCAAACTTATAAAAGAAGTTTCATCTGACCTGGAGCTTGTCAAAGAGTAGACGGCGCTCAGCTTCAGCTTCTTCTAAGCGCAGCTTGAGATACCTTCAAAACATACCATCATAAACACATCTAAGGCCATGGTATCGAGAATGATCTACGACATGATCTATAAGCATCATAGAAGTGTGTGTACCAGATCAATTGATGCAAAGCATTATCAGGACTACTCGACTCGAGCAATCCAAGGATTAAGAGAAATCTTCCAAGACCAACTCAAAATATCCTAATGTGAAGTAAAATATTCCTAAGCTTGGTAGGTGTTCAGTCTGAAAGCGGTCAGTATTACCTGCTCGTATATTCTTCTTCAACCTTCTCTACTTTAGCCGACACAATTCGCTGAAGGCCCTCGGCCTCCCTCCGGGCTTCGTCAGATTTGAACTGGAACATCTCTGCCTCTGCCCTTTTCAGCCTCACAATTGATTCCAACTCTTCTATTTGTTGTTTCTTTCTCTGTTTCTCATACTGTGAAAATATACAAGAGTGGTAAGTCTGTCCAGTTCCTTAATTACAATAGTTACAACGTGTAAAATTGATTATTTCAATAAACTGATAAGATTTGTGATGCTTTTTTAAATGAATCGAGAACAGATCAGTCGAAGAAAAGCAGATTGTGAGCATTTACAACTGAAGTTATCCCTGCAATGGGTTCAGGTGTACCTGAAGAATACAAAAACACTACAAATGAAGCCAGGATATCAAACCAAGGGATACAAACGTGAGAAAGAGCCAACTTTCAGTGCCCATTCGACGCATCCATGCCTTCTCAATTACTATTCTCAATTAGAAAATACCAGAACAAGTGAATTATATTGTTGAATGCACACCAGGAGGTCTGCAAGCTCCTGTTGCTTGTCCTTAAGTTCTCTGTCAGATGATTCAAGAGCCGATCGAGCCTTCTTCACCAGTAAAACCTTCTCTTCGGCTACACCCTCTAGTTTCGCTATGACTTCTCGAACAACTCCAGCTACACGGTCACAAACTTCTCTTCTATCAAGGACTTTAACATTGTCTCTTTCCTTGTCTTTCGACTCCACGTTCTCAGTATCTGCTACATGATATTTGATACTTACGTCAGACTCAAGCCTCCCAAATAATATTTCTAGCAGATAATCACGGAGTGCTGACATCCAGCATTCTGGATAGAGAGGAGCAAAAGGTAATTGAAAGTAGGTAAAAAAGTGCAAAAGATAATGTTCACTTTGCTAATGACATACAGCATATCATAAGATCTGACACACCTTGAAAGAAGCATAGTATCTCCTTGATTGCAGAACTGGTATCAAGTCCATTCTTCATTTTATCTAAAACCTCCTGCGCCTTCCGGCCTAAATGATTCCCCTTAGTGTCATCGGCCATATGGAAAATCCTTCGCACATAGTCCAGCTCTTTCCCCAAAGAGTCTCTCTCCCAACGCAAGGCGCAATTTTGAAATACATCCCTAGCCCAGCCTAGAAGTTCAGAAACACCTCCACAAGCTCTACATCGAAAAATCAATTCACAAGAATTCGAATCGCGGTCAGACCCTGCCTTAGTGCTTACACCCATAGATATTGTCCCACTTCTCATGGCACAATCAGAATGCGTCCAGTGTGAACAAACATCGCATCCGAGCCATCGGAATGTGTTGGCATCAAAATCGAATTTGCTACACATCACGCACATGCACTGGTTGCAGAAACCTGACATGGACCTACAACATTCACATGTGCAATCATTGGCTGGGAGCGGGCTTCGACAAGAAATATTGCGGCAGGTTTTGTGGAAGAAAATCTCGACCAGTGCAGTGTGGAACACACTTATGTCTGGAAGAAGAAAGGCCAATATTCCAGTTTTCAGAGCTACGAATATTTCAAGCTGGGTCTTATGAGCCCGCATTAGTCTTTCAGGGGTAAAATCACGACGAATTGTTAACAGCCTCTGAAGAAGAGAAAATTCCTCTCTTCGATTTTGATTGCCAAGAATATCGCGTACATCAGCCTGCATGGAATTACCATTTAATAAGAAGGGCAGCTAAAAATATGATGCAGGCGAGGTACATAGAGCTTATAAGGTGATTCATTAAGGATCACTTACACATGCGAACAGAAAAGGATAAAAATTGAATACACACGATGCCACGACAAGAGAGAGGCATACTCTCACGTTGACAAGATATTGAGAGACCCTAATTTTTATGACCCTTAAATATTGCGTACATCGTGGAAAACTACTGGTGAAATCACATTTCCTTCTGAAACATAATCACTGTAGCAAACTCCACCTACAAAAGACGTATTGATATGCAAATCACGACCATTGACACTAATATAAGTTTCGAAATATGAAAGAGGGAAGTATTCACCTTCAATTCCTCCAGGGATTCATCAGGTTGCTCTCTCATCCGCTGTGCCATAATATCAAGAGGTTCTTTTATGATATCTAGGGGCTGGATTCGGTTGGAAGTATTTACCCGCTGAACAACCTTCTGTTCTGCCTCTTCTTCGTCGCCCTCTTCTACCTCTTCGTTCTGTCCTTGTCCTCCAATCGTGTCTTGCTGGGACCCTACTTGCTGCGACATTTTTATTATGAGACCTTTAATCCAATGAAGCTTGAAGAGACGATAATTTTCCAAGAAATTTGAGTACATTACCAAAGAAGTTCAACCCAAGGCTCTTTCAGGAACATATATATGCACGCTGTTTGCGGAAGTCAGGTCTTGAACATACAACTGTGCAAGAACTGGACTTGACATAGTGAACTTCCTGAAACATTTTACAAGGACGTAACACCTTTACATTCCATTACGGTGTGTTCTTTCATACTCTTCATGTGTTACAACGATGCTGATCCTGATCTTCGTAGCTAGTCACCTGCTCTTTGAATTCTGAAGGCAATGAGTTTGAGATAAAGATAGGATTGACAACTTCTCGCATACCGTGGGCCATGTCTCTCTAGAGCTAGCACTTTCTGTAGGCGAGTCGCGAAGTTGCGTGTTGCCAGCCCAGCAGGGCTCAGTCCCAGTACCCGTTCGACCTTCTGAAGACACCAGAGAAAGCGATATCTGTGGGTGTGACATAGAGGCAACACTTGCTCGCGGCTGGAATGGTGCGTTTACGTTATGCAAGTTCACTCCTACGTTCAGCTCTTGACCCCCCCCTCCCTCGCTGTGTGATCGACTCCTTTTCATCCTTCAGAAGTCTGTCTTGTATGCATAACCAGGAAGCGCATGAGATCTAAGTCAATAGAAACTCAAGCTAGAAACATACAACACTCAGTTACTGGATTAAATTCTCCTGATAAATACGAAGAGTTGTTCATAACAAATAACATATATATGTGCAAATAAATTTAACTACAGACACTATGTTTATAGCTATGAAGAGTAGACTGCAACCAGCAAACGAGTTACCCGTAGCATAACTTCAAGTGTCAATTAGATAAGACGCTGTGAAACGGCCACAGCTGCAGTCCACTTTCTCCCATGACATTGCCTGTAGTTAGATACAAGTGTGACAAGAGAAACGGGTCTCATAATCCCAACCGACAAGATCAATAATCAATAATATACTCTCCGCGAGAACAATACTATCCGCCTTCAACATGCACAAAATGTCCGCATGACCTCATATACTCAATCGAATTCATCAGAGTAAAAACCCACTCACGAAGCGGCGCTCCACTACCATCGTTATTGAAGTCAAGCACGACCCAGCCAATCCACCTCCCTAAGACGACGACATCAGGTCAAACGCTTCACGCCCTCCAGAAAACCGCAATCGCAACCCCAATCGCCACTGCTCCAATTCCACCCCAATCAAAACTCCCAGCGCTCTCAAACCCTCTCACATTCATCGCCACAAAAACGGCCCGTCGTACCTATTCTCGCTACACCTCCCCAAGCAACGACGAAGCGCAAAAGCCTCTCTCTAATCCTTTCAACTTCCTCCCGGCGTGAGCCATCGTCCGATCCCTGTCCCGCAGCCACAACCTGCCAATCACTAGCTAACTTCAACCACCCGATCGCACCAAAACGAGTTTTTCCGCACGCATAGAAGTCAAGACGGCCGCGCGCAAACTCTCCAGTTGCAGCAGCTGTAGCTGGCAGAAGACGACCCGAATGGCTATGGCGGTCAGGATTTCGCAAGTCGAGTTATCACAAAAAGGGGGCCGGACTCCGACGTCCTTTCCAATTTGAAGGACAGTTCAGGACAGAAAATCCCTCGGTCAAAAGGTAGATGACGACTATTTCCATTTGTAATCTTCTCCTTTTTCTAATAAAGAGCGCGATGACTTCCAATTTAGCGGCCACGAACCATACGACTTGACCTCATAAAGCTCCTCTCTGTCTCGCTTCAACCGAGCAGGAGAACAACAGCAGGAGGGATTATTTAGGGGTGACGAAGTTCCCCTGTTCCCCATCCCTGTTCTAATCATAGGAACTTCGTCTCTCTCTCTCGCTTAATTTCGCTGGAGCCATTTCGTTTCGTGCTCCGCTGCAGTTCCGTTTCGAGTTTCGTATTCTGCCCGTTTTTGTCAATAAAAATTTGGTATTGCGTCGGCCGATTGGTTCTTCAGCTTCTTCATATCAGACTGGTTCTTAGCTATGTTTCTGATCTTTAAATAGCCATGCATTGTCGGCACACGATTTCCTATTTTGTAGCGATGAAGTTTCGGTTCAGTTAGTCGGGTTTTTGAGAAGGCTGTAATTGTTGTGAAGAAACACTGTTCTGGAGGAGCTCAGTGGAGCGTGGACAGTTGTTCGTGTTTTTTTTATAAACTTTGGTGGTATGTTGAGGTACGGAGTTCGTTTTTTGATGTGTTTCTTGTTTTGCCTGCTGGTCATGATCTGTTGGAAGGAGCTTATTGGTGGAGGTTTGAGTTGAACAGGTCGGATGTGTCTGTGTCATTCGTTGGTATCGCATGTGAGCTACTGGATCTTTTTATCCTGGCATGTAGAGAAAGGCTGCGTCGAACGTTTTATTAATTCACGTGAATGCTTGCAATGTTTCCATGAGCTGGTCGTATGTTGGAGTTTGTGAGCGTCTGCTGTGTTATCAATGTGCTCCGTGAAGCGCTTTCACTAACTGACAGAGGATTCACGAAATGTTTTTTTTTTTTTTTTTTTTTTTTCTCGTTTTTCTTATTTTTCTCACCATTTTTCATGACAATTTTCTTCCCTCTGCAAGATGCAGGTACTCTGAAGAAAAGTAGTTCCGTTACAGTCGACTGGTGGTGTGCGAAATAATCTATTCTGCAGTTTTGCGGAGCAACATCGAATCATCAAAATACAGGTCATGCGGTAATTTTTCGATTGCCTGTCCGTGTGCACATGAGATGGCGAATACAGGGGCTCTGAAAATTCAGCGGTTTTGTATTATTCAACTATCTTCAGATCTTCAGAATCCTGTTTGTGCTTTCGAAGTAAATCCACTCAAGCTGCGTTCCCTTCGGCAAGTTGGTGGAATAATTTGAGCTTGCTTGTAGAGCCACTAATTCTGAGGTGTTCATCGATTAGAGCGTAGCAACATGATGCTGCAGCAAATAATGAAACCTTGACGAGAGGGTACAGTTAGAATTGGTGCTGCTTTCAATTTACCTTGCCACTATGTGGTTCAGTTAGGGACGGTGTTAGTTATGCTGTGACCACGAACGGCAACTGTTATCCCAGCAGCGAACTTCCTGTAGCATCCCATTTTTCGTTACAAGATGTTTGTCATGACTACTGCTTATGATCTCCTAAAAGAGGCTATTGAGATGCAGGAGTGGGTTTTGACAGTTTCTAACAGTAATGTTGAAGCATGTCAACTGATAGGTGCTAATTTCGAGAAACAGAGAATATGGCGGTCAAACAGCTCCTGAAACTGAAATTTTTCAACGTAAGTTATTTCTCGTGGTAATATCTGTTCCTGACGACAATGCTTCCTACCAGCGCCTCATACCGTGCAAGATGTGATGTGATTGTTAGCGACTGAACAATCTCTCTTTAACATGGAGCACGGCTTAGCAATGTTGTGGCTGCTCTCTCCGCTCCAACCTATTTTCTCCTTTCTGTACTACCATGTAGCACCCTCTTTTGTTGTGCCTCGCCTCTTCCTCTTTCCCTCTCAACTTTAGGCCATGTTATTTCCCCCCAACATGTGCGATCAAATGTATATAGACATATATGCTGTTAACCTCAGATCTGTGGATGTACATCTTTGCAATGTGTCGAGTTCCATTATCTCTACAGAACCACTTGGGTTCAAGTAATCTACATGGTAGGTAACCATTGACAGGCACAATTGCCTCCATTGGATTAGAGTTCAATATTGCTGAATATGGGCTGCATCGTGGGAACGTGTTTCATACTCTCATTTCGTCTGTTGCTATAACTCGTCTAAAATAAAACTGGATTGCATTGTATTATATGGATCAAGGATATTTACCACAGATGTAACAGCTAGGTCATACCTCGGATCAAATTATGAAACATAAGCAAACTTGATTTGTGGCTGGTTTTCACAGGAAACCTTTTCTTTTGACAAGTTTTTTGACTCCTTGGTGGAAGGCATCTCACCACCTATTAAGATTGAAGAATATGATACCGCAGTTGGTGGTAGTGACACTGCAATTGAATCAATTTTGCAGTTTCCGGAGGCTCCCAAATTCCGCCCTCTCTTTGAGGGTGCTCGGAAGGAAGTTGGTGACCTCTGTTTGAAGGTGAGTTGTTTATGGAAGGGACTTCACTTTGTCAGTTCTATGCGGCTTGCCAGCTGAATTTGAAGGAATTGCGACGAATTTTTTTGCAACAACACCGCGGAGTCCCAAAGCAAATTCTGCACGTTGGTGCTACAACTTCCAAAAGACAGCGTTTAGAGTTAGAACAGCTGTGGAGGGTAGAACCGTCTGTAATTGTAAATGAACTTACAGGGCCAGTGGTTTAGATCACAGCTATGCATCGAAGTGTTGTTTGCAACTGAGGGTCTGGTTTGTTTTTGCTTGACTACCAGATTGATGTTGTTTTGGACAAACTCCGAATGGATTTTGTAGCGTATGAAAATAAGCATAAGGAGAGCTTTGAGGAGGTGACTGCATTTCTATTCATTTACTTCACATAAATGGGCTACTTGTGAACTTTATTAGTTATTTTACCCCTGCTTTCCGCAAATTACATCATATTCATTGAAATCACAATATCATTTCAGCTACTCAAACTGAATTTTATTAACTCTTTACTTTCAGCTATGATAGAGTGCGTCGCATGCTGAAAATCACGTACTTCTTTGTGTGCAGCTACAGGAGGGAGTAGAAGATTTGACAGAGAACTTCGATCGGTTGGATTCTCGAGTCGCAAGTGTAAGTGAAACTGCGGCTGAAATTGGTGATCAACTAAAGGTAACAACCCCCCTCTGCTCACCTTAGTGCAAGATTTATACCCGAACACCCTAAACATTACAGGAGTATCATACCTGCTAGATTGCATTGACGAATAGACTCAAAAACCATCTAACTCACACTGTAACTGACACTTGTACTCATTAATTCGTGCCTGTAGAATGCAGATTTTCAAAAGAAAACTGCAAACGAAACCATCAATCTAGTGAGAGTAGGTATTCACCATATGATTTTGTCATTACAAACAAGTGCTGTGAGAATTAACATTGAGTAATAATTTTTCGATTGGTACTTATAAGTATAAGTCTTGTCTGCAAGTTATGCCCTGTGAGTGTTCAAGCGCTTTACATCATGTACATCATGCCGCAGCAGATACATTAATGCAGCAATAGTGTCAGTTGACCACTAGGATATTAATAAATTGTGTTTGCTGCGGCAGTTCATGATGTACTTCAACGAAACTTCAGGGTACGTCGGAGAGGAGCCATCCTTGTTTTTCGATGATGATCGAGTTGCTGAGGCTGCAGCAGTTGCTCAAAAACTCCGTGAGTCAACTTGTTTGAAATAATACTGCACCAAAATAATACTATTATGATTCGTCGCATGGAGCTACACTGTTATAAATGAAAGACATCGACTTTGGATATCACTGGCATGTTTGCTCATCATGTTTTAGGAAAAACTTTGCGCCTCAGGAGCAATTGCTGAGGACAGTATAAGTGGTGTACATGGAGTACCAGCTCACACTGCTTTGAATGGAAATGGTGGTTTGGAAGTAGCAGCCAAAAACTTGCAAGCTTACTGTAACGGTCAGTATCTGGCCGACATGCATGTTAATAAATCTGGATGTTTGTCAATTCTTGATTCCACTTCATTGAAATTCTGCTTCTGGAAATTAATTCTAGTGCATGCCTGCTGGCAGAGTTAGAAAATCGACTCTTGGGGAAATTTGATGCAGCATCTCAAAAAGGAGACCTTTGGACCATGAGGAATTGTGCTATTATCTTAAACCAGGTAAAAAGCTCACATTCAGTGATAACAATGTGTAGTGAATGACGTTTAATTTGTGCAAAAGTTATGATCACCCTACTCAAAGAACTGATTCTATATTATATTTGATTGCCTTGTGCGGAAATTTACGTCAGTTTAACAAAGGAGGTAGTGTCATGCAAAGATATATTGCATCTAGACCTATGTTTATGGACTTGGAAGTAATGAGCAAAGATGCGCATGCTATTCTGGGAACTGAGGAAGGCATTGCGCAAGTGGACGATCTCATGAATAGTCTCGCTTCTGTTTACAAGGAAATCGCAGGTATAATTCGAAAACTATTTCGTCTTAACGATTCCTTGACTTTGACTATGAAAAACACGATTTAGATTGTGATTGTAGAACAAGTTGAGCTGAAAGAAAATCAATTTAACAGACAGTGTCCAGACGGAGGCAAAGACAGTGGCTGTTGTCTTTCCATCACCTGATGCAGTCATGTCCATTCTTGTGCAAGTAAGCAGTTTGTGATCTCATCCAGCTTGTTCTCAACATTTCTTACTTTGGTTTTGCAAAAATTAGTCTATCTTTTGGAAGCATGCAGCTTTCAATCTTTATCCTTGACTCACATTCGATTTTTTCACCTTATTTAGATAATACATTTTGTAAAGGGTTGTTTTGAAGTAATAAAGTAGAAAGCTGCAAACAGAGAGTAATGGAGCAGCGGGTCAACTTGTTGATAGAGAAAATTGTTTCAAAACCATCACTTTCAAGTCCGCCACCCATGGAACAAGGTGGTTTACTTCTTGTAGGTTTTTCCTAATCCATTCTATGCACGCTTCTAGCAGGACTCTGTATTTCTTTCTTTAGAAATCAACTTCTAGAACATAATTTCGTGCATCTATGTCTTAAGGATCTGGGGTTTCCTTATCCAGTAGAAGATATTTTGAGTTGTAATTTGATAATAGTCAATACAGGAATGCTATCCTAAGAGAAATTGAAACCTGTGTAGTACTTGAATATTCTTTCTGGAGCATATGGAAAGACCAAGGAACTGGCGAACGAATTTCAAGCAATTGGTTGTGGGGAACTAAATATGGAGGGTTGGTTACTCCATCACTTTAAAACAAAATAAGAGCTTAATTCCTACCCACTCAGTAAAGGGTCTATCAAGAGCTTGATTCTATACTATTCTGCGGAAACGTCAGAATATGAGTTCTGCCGATCATTTTTGCACGTCACCGAGATTTCCGGATCTGCTTTCAGTTACGTTTAACCTCGGTGTTCTTCACGAGTCTTTGCGATCAGCTGAATTCAATTCCCTCATGTTCAGTAACATGTCTGTAAACTCCGCAAACGTTGTTTCTAATTGTGCAGCCTGCGTTGAATCTTTATTCAAATCCTACTTAGAAGATTATGCTGAGTTCGAGCTAACTTCACTAAACCAGCTCCATAAAGCCAAGGTCCAAACTTTACTTCTCTCTTGGAAGCTCAAATATCAAAAGGTGAATTTTGATAGAACCCTGGGCAGAATGAGTCAAAAATTAATATTTTGAACTGAAGGACTTTGTTAAGGCAAAGGATCACGTCAACATAACTTGTAAGCTGCCATTGTGGGACTACCTCCAATGTAAAGATGATGTCATCAACAGTCTAAGTAGAACCGAACCTGGAAATGAACTTACACTCAAGAATCAGAGTATGTCAATGGAAGCTTGCTCTCAATTCCTGCCTTATCTAACACTGGAGCTTCTTTCACCCACTGCTCACTTCCGTTGTATTTGCGTTCATTCTGCCTTCATATAAATATCATTGTTGTCAGCCCTTCTGCGACATCCTTTTCATCAGCTTCCTGATGCAGACATTGGAGCTCAAGTCGTGTCCACTAGCTGACATTTCTCAGTCGCGAAGAAATTCAATTCTACATCCATTCTCACCCGTATCGCCGCAAAGGAGAAACTCAGCCATGCATTCTTATGCTCCCATCTCAGTGTCAGTGGTGGAAGAATTTGTGGAGTGGAATGAAGAGGCTGTAACCCGTTGCAAACTGCTTACTCTCAAGGTAAGCATTTTATCAGCCTATCCAAGTAATCTGGGTGAAGGAATTGGTTGAACAGGAAGACCATTTTATTGCAACGATTATTAACCGTCATGATATGTTTTTGCCATGAGAATGATATTTTTTTCTTTTTTTTCCTTTTTTTTTTTTTTATTGGCGATCAGGAGCCGCCTGGCATCCTCGCGACGAATATGAAGGCCATATTTACCTGCCTCCTTGACCAGGTTGTTCTCCTTGCCAATCTGTGAGTGCGAGTACTGAATCATTGACGTTTTTCATGGCCCATTTATTGAAAATCTCCTGATGGATGTTCTCATGGCTCATCAAGCAGGTGAGCCAGTATGTTACCGAAGGTCTGGAGAGAGCTATTGAGGCATTGAAAGAAGCTGCAGCCCTCCGGGAACGTTTTATGTTCAACTCAAACACCAACAGGAAGGTCGTTTCAGCTATGGCCGTTGCAGTACGTGGCCTCTATCCTTCCTGTAATACCTACTTGACAGACCAGGCCTTCTTGAGTCATGGCCCACGGTCAATCGTTCCATTCACCAGTTATCACTAGAACCAGAAAATCTGTGAGGAAATGATCCCTGTCTCGGTGAATGGAAGCCAGGCAGAAGCTGCATCTTCGGCAGGAGAAAGTAGCTTCCGTGCTTTCATGGCGGCCATTCAAAGTGCAACAACCAACATGACCATGCTGCAGCGAGTATATACGTAACCTTAAATACCCATATGTTTGCATCGGTGATCTGCGCACATTGTTCCATCACAGTTCATATTGCAATGGAAAGAGTAAATAAAATCTTTACTGATTTGATGTGGGTTGCAGTTTTTCAACGCATCAGTTTCACAATCCCTCCTGGCTCAAGAGGGAGCACATGCTGCGTGTTGTGATGCAATTGCATCAGCAATAGCTGACGCTGAGAATGCAGCCTTAAGAGGACTACAGGGCTCACTTGACACTGTCCTTGCTGAGGTTCTCACGTCCTTACCTTCTCTAGTTTATCCTAATTGAGCACGACCACCTTAGCTCCTTCTCTCACGGACATTTTTTACGAAAATTTGTTAAGCTCATACTGTTGCCGGGTGTAAAATTCGTGTTCTCAAAATCGAGGGTCAGGTTGAAAGGTTGTTAGCCGCAGAGCAAAAAGCGACAGACTACAAGCTGCTCGACGAGAGTTTGACGCCTGAGCCTACTACTGCGTGTTCGAGGTCTGTCGTTCTACTCTTGATTACAGAAACTACAATAAATTGATAGTTAGAGGACTTCTGAAATATAGATTGTTTTTTATGGCAAAACTTCACGTATTGGATACTCAAATTATGAATATGTACCTCAGTGTAATAACTTTTGTGACACGCATGGCCGAAGTAACGAATGGAGCCTTAGACGGGCTCAACAGAGAAGCCTTCTTGATACAACTGGTAATTCACCTAAGCTTCATTCACAGCAAACTTGAACACCTCGTGGGGTGATCCTGGTCAATTACCCGTAAGTATCACGTGGAGTTCTGATTATTTGTAGTAATAATCTTGTCTTACAGGGGTATGGACTGTATAAATCGCTGATTCAGAACTGGAAGCGATTTGCCTTCAATCCAAGGTTACATGATTGATACCTTCGCGGACACAAGCGTAACATATCAGTCTAAGTTTTGAATCCCCTATTGCTATTGGTGGAGCTTGTGTATAATTTACCTTGACTAGTGGATTGTAGACAAGACTTTCATGTCTGTCAATTAATGTGACCATTTTGCAGTGGGGGTCTGCGGTTGAAGCGTGATGTATCTGAGTACGCTGCCTTTGCACGAAGATTCATGACACCGGCAGTTGACGAGAAGTTTGTTCTTTTTGGGATGTGAGTTGTTTAATCGTTAAATGTCTCACAAAATTTTTCTTGAATATTACCTATCTTGGAGCGACCGAACTGATAAAGTTCGATGTATATTTCGAGTGCTCTCATGGCAGGATGGTGAATGTCTTCATCGTAGCACCCGAGAGTTTGCCTACCTTGATGGAGGGGATGTTACGGGATGTGAGAGAGGAAGCACTCGGGTATTCAACTTAATCTTCGAAAGCCTTCTCGAATGCAGTACTTCGTCCATGGTTGCTGAGTATGTACCAATCGCTCATGGCTTTTCCTGTGCAGATTAATAGAGTTGCGAGATGATTACAAGAAAGCCAAAGTTGCTAACATTCTCAGCAGCATGAACACGTGAACTATGCTGTCATATGAAGCAAATAATTGGAAGGAAAATCTAAGATTTGTTTCAGGTTCTAAGGCCTACTCTTTCCTAATCCAGCACTGTAGTAAAAAGGAAAAATTACACGCTTGAATTGGATCATTTCAAAACTAATCAGTCGCATCTGCAGAGGGGAAAATTTGTGATAGTTAGTGAACTAATGCAAAGACAATCTATCCGGTAGAGTATACATCTATACAGTTTTAACCTGATGAAAAAAGTTGTCCGCAAAATGAACTGAAAAAAGGACGTTGGTCAACGTGTAACATGAAATAATGCGGACATGCAAATTTTCTTGACAATTTAAGACCGTTGTAACAAGTCTTATCAGGTTATGAATTATATGTTTGGCTAGAATTCAAACTATGTCTAAATATAGATAAGTTGATGCACTAAATTCTGTTACCTTACTCTTCAAAAACACCCACAAACAAAAATCCGTCGAATGAATGCTCGGCATATGTGAACCATACATACTAGTTTCTGATTGTACACCACATTGTGACTGCATAAATCCTACACAATCCATCGGTGGGTAGTCTCTCCGCAAGAAACCTAAACCAGAACTCTCGATTCTTAATCTTCCATCCATTTTACCAGCTTGTGTTTGTAGTTCAGCTCAGGGAATGGCAGGGCAGCACTTTCACATTTCACCTTCTCCCGGTACTTCTTCTCTTGGTCCACAATACCTGCAAGTTTAACAGAAATACAATGAAATGTCGCGAATCTCTTCACCTTTGGCCAAATTGTAACAAAGAAAGCTGAATTTTCAGTCATTTTCAGTTCAATCCACTGAACAAACATTTCTCGCAGGAAGTAGCGTAAAATTTTGCAACATCTGTGGGATCAGATAAGGACCTTCAAACTCAACACGTTTTTGCTCTCTCGCTTTGATCTCCTGTGCTTGCTTGTTTCTGAGCTGGTCCTCAAGCGAATCCAGTAAACCTTGTTTTGTCTGTATGAAATAGTGTTAAAATGTGGGTTACAAAACAAACGACATATCCAAGTATGCGGTCACATGCCACAAAAGAATAACAAGCGTGCGATACTTAATTAGTCTGGTAATGATCCGATTATGCTGGAGGTGATGTGAATATTGTCTCAGGATCTACCCTCCTCTGTTCAGCGAGTTGTCTTTCTTTCTCAGCTGCGGCCATTTTTACCATCCTCTCATTGTTCTCCAGGTCTAGTCTCTTCTGCGCCTCGATTTCAAATCGCACTTTGTCTAAAGAGAAATACAAAATGTGTATATTGTCGTGTTAGAAGTTGAGCCGGTACATGACAATTCGTGTTAGAAAGTGTATTCAGTCTATGTAACTCTAATCGAAGTAGGCAATGTAAACCAAGGTTTTCAGCAGACCCAAGTGTTTGTTTACTTCAACGTCGGGATACCTTTCTCTCTGAGTTGATTCTGTCTTTCTTCATGCACCCGATTCCACAGGCGCTGGCGCTGGTCTTCCTCACGCTTCCATCCGGCCTCTCGTTTCGCCGATTCAGCATCCTCCTCGGCTTTAAATTGCGCGTTTCGGAAGGAATCGTCGGCAGATAGCCTGGCCGCCACAGCTTTCAAATGGTTTGCGTATTGTTTAGCTTCCCTCTTTTGCGCATCTTTGAGCTCCTTCTCCTGCAGAATTTCTTGCGCCTCTCTTGCAGCTGTCAACGCCGCACACTCCGCCTCGAATCTCTTGTCTGCATCATTTTCTCCATTCCTCGTGCACCTCAGACCCTGGTTCGTCGCTTGGATCGATTTGTTTCTCGCATCCTACACAAGCAACGGACAAATAAGCCAACAACCCAATTTCACATATGAATTTCATGCCATGCACAAGTTGCATTTGAGACCAGTCGAATTGTAACAGGAGTGTTGCTGTAAAATAATCCGGACAGGAGGAAGTAACCAGGTAGCATTTCCTCTCTGCTTGTGTGCGCTTTAGCGCCTCTTCTTCCTGCTGCCAACGCATATTCATGGCTGCCATTTCTGCCTTGACGGCCGCTTGCTCCTCAGATCTGAGTTTACTCAACAATTCCATTTGCTCGTTCAAGACGTCCGTGGCCTCCACCCTCTTGGCTGCCTTGGTCGCAACTTCAGCCCAAAGCGCCTGCTCCTTAATCTTCAACTCCCGTTCCATAATTCCCTCCAGCTTTCTGTTCTCCTCTTCCTCAATGATCTTCCGCGCAACTGCTTCTTCAAGCTGCCGCTTCCGGCCTTCGACGGCGCGGAGCACTGCCAGCTTGGAATCTTGAACACGCACGTCATCCGCATTGTCGCGCCACGCTTTGTCCATCATCTCCTGCGCGTACCGGTCCCTCTGGCATGCCTCGGTATTTTGCTTCTGTTTGAGCGCTCGCGATCGCGCCTCTAGCCAGGCCCGCCGTTCGGCGAGTGTCATAGAGTTGGTCTTTAACTCGTCATTCAAGAGCTGATCTTCCCCCTCCAACAAGGCTGACAACTTTGCTCGCCGAATTTCAAGATTCTGTTCTCTGCACTGGCGAATGGCCTCTTCCCTCGACTCAATCTCACGCTCCTCCCTCTTCTTGATATGCTGTTCTCCAAACTCCGCTGCGCGCATCAGTTGGTTATACGATTTGACGGCCTGGATGTTGTCGGCTATCTTATTCTCGTACATGCGCATCTTGTAAATGCGATCTTCGTTGGATGGCATCCGCATGGGTCGCGAGTATTTTGCCATGGCGGAGTGATGTTGAGCCCTTCAACAATTGCACACAACGAAGTCCTCCACCGTTGTTTCAAAACCTAGTATTGGACTCCACAGTTTGACAAGCTAGCGACACTCTGATCCTCGCGATCGTCAAGTGCGAAACTTTTTTCTGAAAAATTGGAAGCTAATTTCCAGTAAATTTCAAATTTCCTATAAGCTCAATTCACGAGCACAAGCATCTACTACAATCCCCGAACGACTAATGATGTGCAAGCAATTGGTAGAATTCCTCCCACTCCCAGTTGCTCTGCAAGAACCAGCCACATCTCTGACGCGGACAGAGCGAGCAGAACTTTGAAAATTCACTCCTAATCTCAAATCTTAAACCACTGCACTACCTTCCAAGTCGTCTCAAACGTCGTGATGACACAAACTACCTCACTACCCACGACATTTCACACATCCTCGTCGTTGCTCTCTCGAAATTCCGACTCTCATCCAAACTTCTGCAGCGATACAATGCACAACTGTTCGATACATCGACAACACGCACACCGGGCATAACACGGTCGAATTCTCGCGATCAAGAGCGAATCAAAAAGAGTCTCTTTCAAGAACAGGATAACGACCACGCAGCGGTGTACCCAAATCGCACAGAAACAGTGTGAACCCGAACAATTAGGTGAAGAAGGGAGGGATTCAATGCCAAGTTCATTGCGAAGAAAGAAAGCGCTGCGGTAAGTGATGATGGTTTCGGCTAGCGGGAAGATGTCAGTTGTAAGTGATGAAGGGATTATTGTAACTGCTTTGAAACATGCCAGCTGAACCAGCTGAGCTATCCCCCAGCTTCTGGTGAACTAACAGCAGCTGCCCTCACCGTGTGCATACAAGTTTCTTGCTTCAAACAATTTGGATCGCCCCGTTCGTATCTCCACTCTATTGAGGTCCCGCGCGCGCGCACTTCCAACATGGTTTGGACACCCACGTCCCGAAACTCGTTGCAGGACAGAATTGTGATGGCTGAAAACCTCGGATTCCAGGTCTGGGGACTATATACCCTGCAGGCAGGATCTGTGATTTCAAATGGGCCGAGGTCCGACCGATGCCTATGAGGATGCGGTGCGAATGTTGAGACCCTGCTGTTTCGGTGATCAAGGAACACTGTTCTGGAAAAGTTGGATACCGGGACACGTAACTTTGCGGTGCGCTTGGCCGTCCATTTGCTGCATGTGTTAGACACTGCGATTGGGCGATTGGGTAGATAAGCTTCATGCCACTGTTGCCTTCACGTACACTTCACTATTACTCTTCTGTCTCTTCCAATAAAGCTCTTTCCGGCTAACATTTTCATGCTTGTAGCTGGAGCACATTTCCATGCATGTTGTTAATCTTCAGCTGCATCAAAATCCTTTCTTGGTGAGGAGAAGATTTGTGGAAGATGCTCCCGATTCCTCTACTTTTAGGGTTTGTACGAAGTAACGTGACAATTCCTGAATTACTCAACCTCGCAACTAGACCCTCTGGGGTTTTTGTGTCCTGTGTTAGACGCATTGGAGCCCTGCCCCTTGGATACCAATTGTGTTGATGGGTTTATTATTCAATTTGAGGTCGAGCAGGAGCAAGCACTAGAAAATCCAGTCGGTGCTCAATAGCTGAGTGGACTAGGCCATTGGAATTTCCTTTTTGCGTTCCGCAAAGCCATAGCTGCGTCTGGTGCTGACAAATTCAGCAGGATTGGAGTTGATTTTTGTCAATTGAATAGGTCATAGCTGATTTGAAGTCGAGGAGAGAAGCACGGTCGTGCATTCGGGTGAAGCGATTCCTCGTATGGATGCAAGAGCGGAGCCTAAAGCTTCAGCTATCACCGCGAATTCTGAGGTAAACCTTCTCCACTTTCTCGCGTTTTTTTTCCTCATCATCATCGTGAGGACACACACCTGCTGCAATTGCTTTCTGAATCACATTTATAAAAACACGAGTCCTGTGTCGTGAATCACCAAATCTACGCACGCCATAATTAGCCGAGTAAGCCACAACTGTCTCAACCATTGTGCTAGTCAAATCTGCAAAGCGATCTGCAATTGCAGCAACCATGTCAATTAAGTCAATTCTACTAAGCTCTCGATTTCTGTTTGGATCGTCCCACTGAAGCTTGTCACTGTGTCCAGTCGCAGGCAGCTATGGCTCAACTGAAGCAGCCCCCTCAACCTCGTCGCCCAAGCTACATAATGCTGGCCAATATGACCATCCTGGTACTCGTACTAGTGGCGAGCGGGCTAGTTCCCCTAAAGGACGTGCTATTCGCTGTCTTCGCCTCTGCATACTTCGTTGCAATGGGGAAGTTCGTGTACCCATCTCCCACCAAGGAACGTCCACCAAGTGTTTTCCCTAAAAACCGCTTGCTGGGGTACTACGTTGGGGTTGCAGGCATCATAGCCATCCCCTTTCCTGCGGCTTACATTCTGGGGTCTTTTGTGAAGGGCGACCAAGTGGCCATGACATCAGCAGCTCCACACTTGTTCCTCCTAGTCTGCCAAGTGCTAACAGAAATGACAGTGGCGAGTATGGTGACGGCGGTGTCTCTCCCTGTTCGTGCACTCGTACCCATCCTGTACAACTCCCGAAGGCTGGTCACCCTTTCAGCATGGCTGGAGTTTGAGTTCGCTCGAGCACCAAGCGATTCTGCAAGCTTCCAATGGATCATGTTCGGGCGAGGCCTTGCAACTGTGAACATGGCCGTCTGGACGTTCAATCTGTTGGGTTTCCTGCTGCCTGTGTACCTGCCCCTTGTGATGAGGATGCATTATGATCTGGAGAGGCTGTCCAAAGAGCACCGAAGCTGAGAATCTGCACCATCTCCAGGTGCTGCTATGAATCCTGCATATCTGTCTCACTTTTCGCTTCCACATCTTTCAGCAGTTGAGCCCATTCTATGCTCGACTTCAGCAAATTCTGAAGCTCGGTTCTTCTGCCCTCACTATCTCATGTTGTGCATATTTCACTGTCTCATGCTGCTGTGTTTGTATATTATAATATGATGCAATTTTGTAGGTATTTGTACAGTGAAGGGCTGCCTTCCTGGTTCTTTACCTCTCGTGAATGACAGGAAGTGGTTGAATGTGACATGGGTTAAGATTAGGATATTCTTGTAGTTTTTTATTTTCTCTGTTTGATGTGGTGTATCGGTCTTGTTGAAAGTAATAATAATGACATATTAATTTATTTCTCAAAAATCTAAAAGGGTTTGAAAGAGGTTTTGAATGTTTCATAAAGTAATAAATTTCACAAAATACGACAATTCATTCACGTATTTAAGTGTATATATAAGACCAATAGAAACTTGTAAAGTTGAGTGCACAATATATTGTAATAAAAATGGATATACCTCATGCAAGAATGTTCTGTGAATTTTTTCCATTTAACCTACTGTGCAAAATTTTGTTTTTGAAATTCTAGTAAGTCTATTCAAAATATATAGATACACTCAAATATTCTTTTTAAAACAAATAGTGAAAAAGATCTGCATATATATTATATTATATTTTGCTGTTACAAAGTACACTTACATGTATAGAATATATGTGCTAAGGAGATTTTAGAATACATTATATTAGTAATAATAATTTTTTATAATTATTAGATGAATAAGTAATTCTAATAAAACTAAAAGGAGTGTATCAAGGTTTAATTACATAAAATTGCTTATGAATAAATAATGAAGTTCAAAAGCCTATATTTATGTGATACAATGATTGTTTTTAAGGTTTATTAATGGTTGTTACCCATGCAAGTTGTATAGAAAATTGTTGTTAGAATTTGAAAGAGAAGTTTGTTGTTGATAGAAATAATAATTCTTAGAAGCAAATTCAATTGTCTTTTATGATTTCTTTCTAGTAGCCTTGCTTTAATAACACAATTAATAAGTCTTTTAAGAATAATGTATGAACTATTATTAAGACTATGTTGTGAAGTAATATTTTTTAATGACATTATGAAGCAATCAATCTTAAGTTCTAATTTTGATGGAAATATTCTTTTAACTTCAATAAGTTGAGATATTTTGTTGGATATGACATTTAATTATATACTCAATTTTCTTTTATAAATATATTTGCACTTAAATAAACTTTTATATCTCTAAGAAAAACTCTTAAAGAATTTGTACAATGATATCATCAATATCAAGTCAAAGATATGAATCTAAGACAAAACTTTGAGAAGATAATATATTCATGTATCATTGAAAGAAAGTAGACAATTAAGATATAGACATAAGATAGAAAGAAGTTAGAATGGTTGTTAATTAATAAGAACTTAAAGAGTCTTGAAATAAGATTGGAATATAAGGAAGGTATTCTAAAGACAAAGGATGGCCTTGATCTTATCTCCATGTATACTAAGTACCAAAAAGGTCTTATAGATGTTTCCCTTGAACCACAAGGCTTGTAGTCAAAGTATTAAGTAGTAGATTAGTGCCAATGTAACTTTTTAAAAGTAAAAAATTTGTAGAATAAATTCCATTAATCACATGGCATAGCTCTAAAAGTCACAATATATAATCCACATCTAAAAAACTTTTTTGAAACTTCTTAACATGTTTCTATTACTTCTATTAACATAAGTAATATAAGTATCTATGACATATTATTATTTTGTATTTATAAAATCATTAAAAAATTTATTAATTTTTTAGTGAATGTCCTTTCAACATTTAATTAGACAAAAATTACTATGATTAATATTCTATTCTTTAATCCACAATTATATGACTTAGCATAGTTATTGTGTTTTTTGATGGATTAATTGTATTTAAAGAAAGTCTAATTTGTATCACTCACAATTACATTGTTATGTAAATAAACATAAAATTAAAATTAAAGTTTAAAGTATGAATTTTAAAAATAGTCTTTAAAAGATCATTTATAATTTATTAATGTCCTTTATTTGAGCATAAAAAACTATTTTTAAAAAAATTATGAACTTGAATATGTTGCTGAATTATTAAATATTGAATAGAAGCATCATTAACATTTTCTTATTTTATTTTTATAAAAATAAAGAAGAATTTATAAAAATAATATCTATGAAAATATAAAATAATTGTATCAAATATATATATATATATATATATATATAGCTTGAAATGTCCAATTTGCATTGGTATTTTATCTCAAATAATAATAGAAGTCCATAAAATATCAACATCTACATTCTTCTTTGATATAGTACAAAAATTGACTTAATGAACATTTAATCAAGTCTCAAATATTAAACGTAATATATACCTTCTACTAATACATAAAACTATCTTTCAAATCTTAAAATCTTTATTGTAATTGTAATTGTATTATGTATAAATTTTTTACTATTTCTTGCATAATCTTTCAAAAATTAACTTAATATAATTGTTGATTGTAGAATCAATAATATCTTCAAATAAAATATATTTTTTATTTATTAATTTTGAAAAAATATATATTAACTTCTAACACAAGCTCTTTACATATCATATGCTAAATAATTAACTTCTTGTTGCAATATTCACTCCAATTTCTTAGCCACAAAGACCAAGGTAAGAAATCTTTCAATATTAAGTTAGACCCTTGAAGAATTTTTTTAAAAAGAAAAAAACTATACACAACTATTTGAAATTTTGTAAAGTTATTAATCATATGTTTGTAAATCAATGAATGGCTTCAATCATTACAAATACTTTTCTTGAATTTGCTCCATAACTTTGCAAGATGAGTTGGTACATATTGAGGCAAAATGATAACAAACAATCCTTATAATTTGAGTCTTCATCTTTATTCTTGATGATTCTTAAAAACATTGTGTACATTCTTTGTTGTCTTTTATTAATGATTACTCTAAACATGTGCTCCTAAGTGTAGAATAATTCGTATAATTTATCATTTGCAAATAAATGAAGTCTTCAAACAACTACAAATAAAAATTTAAGATAAAATATTTTGCTTGCATTAGGTACAATAAAACAATACTTCAGAAACATTAAAAGATGTTGATACCTCAAAATACTTAGCTGTGATTATAAATTTATGGTTATAAATATATATATATATATATATATATTCATAATTCAAAGTTAAAAATAGAAGTTGATATATTAATGAAATTGAAAATAAATTATTATTTTGAAACTTTTATTATACTGTGAAAAATAACCTAATCAATAATTTTAGAATTATATTTTATTAATAAGATCTGAAGAAGAAATGAAAAGAAAAAATTATAGGAATTTTAAAATTCCTGATAAATTTTTAATATTATATGTTTGAAGAATAAATTTATCTTTATATATTTATAATATCTTTATAAATAATTGATAAATTATTTATTTTATTTACTAAAATCAAAATACTAAGGTGCAAAACAATAGAACATCAAAAACACCGCAATGTATATTTTGTATAATAAAATATTAAGTTTTTAATTCTTAGAACTAACATTGTCTATTTTAAAGACATTTCTAAGTATTAAATTTGCTTCTAAGTCTTCATTTTTCTCCTTCTATGAACATTACAAACCGCGCTTCTGGACAGAACACAGAAGTTTTCGATTGAATTTTTTAAAAATATATATATATAAATATTTACATATTGCACAACATGTTTTTGCATGACTGACAACATGTGGCATAGAAGTTGTCTCTTCATCAGACTCACCGGTAATTCTCTAAAATAGCAGAATCAACAACGAGAGTAAATGTTTAAAATGCACATAGTATCACAAAAGAAATAGTCCAAAGCAAAAAGACTCAGGAAATCATTCGCATTGTGGTGGCCACGGAGCTGTGCCGACATTAGCAAGCTCATCCTGCGTTGCAGAAGTCTAGACTGCGGGGCTTCAAGTTGGATCCATGTGCACTAACCAGAGGATTGAAAAGAAAATGCAAAAAAGAGTCTGAATAAAACAAACTCCGAATCAGTGAAACCAAGCTCCAGGTTAGAACCCAGTTTGGAGGAGTGAGTTTCTGACTCCGATATAGTGCAATATAACTGGTGATGGGCTGCGTGGGTCATGCAGACTAGTTGCTAGATCTCGCGTTTCAACCAGGCTCAAGCTTCTTCGAGGCAGTGAGGAACAGCTCACGCGCAAAACTTGCAGACCAAAACTTGAAGGCGAAGCTCAAAAGCCTGGATCTCGAGAACACGGAGCCACTCTGGAGACTGCGTGGTTTACCTCCACATCATAATGGCATGTGGTGGTTGTCATTGCTTTCTGTGGTGATAGATCCGGTGAGCGTGTGCAGACAGACCCTACGTGTAGGCGGACCTGATGTGAGACTAGCCCGATGTGTAACAGCTGCGTTTTTCTGTCTTGGTGTTTGTGGAGGTGCTTGACTCGAGGAATTGCGAAGAGGTAGGAGAAGAATAATTTCATTCGGGACCGAGTCTTGGGTGTTGCAATCATGTGGGTGCTCTCGGTGACTGTGTGCGGGTATGTGTTTGTATGTGTGTGTGAGAGTGAGTGAATGAGAGAGAGAACATGATTCCCAGCTGGAGATCAATCAGACGGTTGACTCTAGACATTCTCTATTCAAGATCCTCCAGTTCAGATAGCAAAAAACGCCTTGAAAACACCGAGCCACTACACTTTTCCTTCTTTAAACGGCGTTCATCGTGGTGCGAAAAGAGTCGACATCTTACCCAAATCGGTCATGGCGATGTGCTTCTTCATGATCTTGTGACAATGTCGGGTAGTAGTTACGTCTGGTGTACAAAACTGGGATCCGATCATTCGTTCGTGTCTTTCGCAATTTAACTATTCACAAACGCTGACTAAATTTGCAGCGGGGAGTTTAGAACCCTTTGTATTCTGTAAGGGCGATTTCTGACACCTAGAGAGCGCCGTTTCGAAATTTTTAGTTGGCTTGCCAGGACGCCCCTGAATGACGCATGTGTGCATCGATTTTTGGTCTCTTATCTGGCTTTCATTTGTAGTTCTGTCGCGCTTTCTATGCAGATTAATTACCTGTGCCACATCTGAATACATGGCGAGACCATCGGCATTCAATTTCTAGCTCCAAAAATAACCCAAGAATAAATTCTTCTGTGAACTGCACATCATCTCTTGTGTGTGTGAACACTTAGAATTAGCTCAACTGCAAAGATACCCAAGAACGGGTCACCATGGTTTCAATTTTCTCAAGAGCATATGCTCAGTTTTGGGTGAGAGAGTTGGATCGAAGTCAAAGGTTGTTGAAAAGTTCCACATTGATGGTACTTCTATCAAATTCGTTGCCACCATCTCGTGAAATATATAATTGATTGAAATCATGGATTTAGAATCCTCTTTTTCAAAGTTGAAGCAGTTTTTTTTGCGTTGTTGGGGTCCCAGAGGTTTCCGATTCAACTTGACAAACTCCTGTCAGCCAGATCAGCAAAATTCACATGTAAATAATAAAGAATGTTTCAGCAAGGAGCCAATATCTCAAAGGATGGTCAACTCCTAAATGATGGTCGGAGAAAAAAATAAAATAAAATAATCTCTGGATTACACTCTGTCAATGCATATCTCCGCCTCAGTACATATTTCAAAAACGAAAATTCATGGAGCAGATTGCTTGACCTGGGACACCTAATCGCTGTATGTGCATTTTCATAGAAATGAGAGCTTTTTGTGCAATGTGTAAATACCAAGTCTACTCAAAAGTAGGATAGACTGGCGAGCCTTGAAAGTCTGTCCTTACAATCACATGCCCATAGTTTGTGCAACATATGAAATATATACATCTATATATATATATATATATATGTGAAAGAATTCTTCTGCGTTGCCATCCCTGTGTTGGCAGCCACATTCCCAAAGACTGTAGACAAGCATAGTTTTCAATTCCAAGATCTCGAGATTCCAATATTAGATCATGAAAGTAGTTACCATCTCCTGAGACAAGGAAAAGTCCGAGTGAAAAGTGATAAAATTTAACTTGATCGAGAATAGTAATAGTTTATTGCAGCTCTCGACAAGAGTTCTAATTTTTGTCTACTGTATGTGATGGGACTCACCAGATGACTCGCTTGGTGGGAAGTGTGTCGCGAGATTTCTGTGCCATACTTAGCCGAGGTGGTTATGTAGCAAGCCTCACTGCAGATCACCGAGATCGACCAACGGATTGGCCTCTGTGATGAGATAGAAACACTTGATCAGGGCGAATGAAATCAAGTGGGGTTTTTCGAAGCTCATCGTAGGTTTGTGTCATAGAGGTGAAAGCCAGGGGAGAGATCTGGGGTGGCTCCGTGCTTTGCGTTCCGGAGATGAGACGAGCTTCCACGTTGAAGGAAGCTCAGCAGCATTTTTACGGATCTAGAGATGCTCGTGTTCACAAAGTAGTTGTTTCATTTTGTAGCTGATCAATCGATGATGTTTCCCTTCTGCATTGTAGCTTCTGATCCCTAGATCGCTGGGGCTTTTGAGCACCTTCGCGCAGTTGAGCCGTTGATCCAGGCGAGCTCCGTCGTAGTGAATTTTGCTTGTGTTCTGCAGCCTTGATGGAAATTAGGAATCGGCAGATTTCTTGGTGAGAGAGGATTGCAATTTGTCTTCCGGTGGAGTTTAAGGAAGACTTAGTAGCGCTGCAGTTCTCAGGTCAATTTGGAGAGATAGATCTGCCCAGTCCGATGAAGCTATTTTCTGTTCAATTTGTTTCGAATCTGGCGAACGGAGCTACGTACTGTTGCGTCCATCCCTTAACACTCTTCTGATTGAAATTCCCATTTTGAAATTAATGCAGATAAGGTGGCGAGAGGGTCGTCGTTCAGGAATGTGCCCAGGTTTGCAACGTGGAAGGCCGACTAAGGTTCAAGTGTGACAAGAAGACCGCAACAATATGGAGCAGTGAATTGAGCAGACCTGTGATGGACACTCTACAGGTGATTGTCATACGAGGTGACCGAGTAGCAGAATTATCATTCTCTCCACCAGAAATATCATTGTCCAGTCGATCGTCTCCCGATTTTTTGATGATAGCCGAAGCTCGCGCACAATAAAGATGAGCTGGTGCATTTCATCTTAGGTAGGTCTTGCAAGCAGCACGCAGAGCGCTTTCTAGGGTGGAAATTAGGGTATGAAGCCCTGGAGAGGACCTTCTGATTGATTGCTTAGAAAAGGAATCCCTTGCACCATGGACAGGCTTGTATGCTTAGATGTGGACGAAGTAAGGATCCCCTTTGCGCTCGGAAAACGAGTCACATTCAAGGTCCAAATCAAGAGCCTGGTCGCTATCACCCCCGTTGCTTTCAAAGTCCAGACAACAGGTCCGAAGAAGTTTGGCGTGAAGCCGCACATGGGCATCCTCAAACCTCTCGGCCACACAACCTTCGACATCGTAATGCACCCCCAGTATGAAGTGCCCGAAGATTTCCCCGTCTCTCGTGACAAGTTCATGGTCACCACCATGATGATCCCCCCGGAAGAGCTCCCCCAGATATCCCTGGCGACTCTTAGCGACTGGTTCTCTACAAAACGATACAAGGTCTTCGTCAACGTTAAGATCCGCGTCATTTACGTCGGCGGGGAGATTCTGCGCCTCTCGGCAGCCAAAGGCTCTCGGGAATCAATCCAAGACGTTCTCTCGCGAGGCACGAATGTGAATTCCAAGGACGAGCAAGGCCGCACGGCGCTCAGCATCGCAGCATTAAGGGGAGACCCTCATATCGTGCAAGAATTGCTTGAAGCTGGCGCTGCGGTGGACGGTCCCAGCGGCGCGGGGTTGACGCCACTACAAGAGGCGGCATTTGCAGGCCACTCCGCGATCGTAACTCTGTTGTTGAGAGCCAAAGCAGATAAAGAAATTCCATCTCATCCCCGAGGATGGACAGCTCTTCATCTCGCAGCTTCTCGCGGCCGAGTTGGGGTGCTACGGATTCTTCTCAAAGCGGGGGCTAACGAGAATGCTCCCGACATGGACTTCCGTACCCCACTGCACGCCGCGGTAACGGAAGGACACACAAGAGCTGCGCTAATTCTGCTCCAGCATGGAGCCGACCTGGATGTGCAGAGCATTGATGGCCGGACGCCATTGCACTGCGCTGCGCTCCAGGGGCATCTCTCTGTGATTGAGCTTCTAATTGACTGGGGCGCGCAGAAAGAGATTAAGGACTGCGAGGGGAAGACGCCGTTTGAGCTTGCAGTGGAGAGTGGTCATACATACGTGCTGGATCCCCTCCTTTTAGGCCAATTCCTTCACAAGGCTGCGAGAGAAGGCAACATTCAAGCCGTCCAGCGGTGTTTGCTGCAAGGCGCTTTGGTGAACAGCTGCGATCAGCACGGGTTCACTGCTCTCCACAGAGCGGCTTTCAAAGGTCATGCGGATGTGCTGGTAGTGCTCCTTGACCATGGAGCAGAAGTTAACGCAAGCGATCGGGAGGGATACACTGCCCTGCATTGCGCGGCAATTTCTGGCCACATTGACGCTGTCGACGTGCTACTTCAGCATGGCGCCGATGTGAACTCTAGGTGTTTAAAGGGCTCTACGCCTTTGCATGTCTCCTCGGCTATGAATTTCGTAGATGTGGTGTGCTTGTTGCTGGACTACAGCGCGGATCGCACCATTCGAGCACTGGATGGGCGTACCCCTTTCGACATTGCGGTTGAATCCCGAAACCAGGATCTGCTGCCTGTGCTGAATCTGGACCAGGAAGACGACGACGGAGCCTCGGAGCTTTGCCCTCCGCTTGCGACTATCTCCCTCAAGGGTAAGGAAATCCTCATCTAGTGGAGCGCTTCGGATGGGGCGTTTCATGTGGTGCAGAGAGTTTGTAAATTAGGTTTTGTAGCAAAGATTTGTGATGGTTCCTCTGGCAGCGCTGTAGCGGCACCAGTGTATCTCTGTTGAGAATGTGGGAGGAGCGTAGGGTGTAGTCACGTAAAGGGTGTTGAAGATAACTGATTTGTGTAGGCACATCGGATTGAGTACATAGAAACAAACTTCACTAGCGTGGAGCTTGTCCTGAAGATTCTGCACAATTGTGGCTGTTTGAAATTTACTCGCCATGTCCTTGAACAACAGGATTGATACTCTTAAGTAGGATCATTTCGACACAAAAATTCCGGTTCTAGTGAATTTCGACAACTCAAGTTCTTGAATACTGCAGAACAGTTGCTCCAAAGCATACAATCCAAGCAATGACGATAATGATGTGTTTTCAAAATGCCCAGAATGTGCATGTGCACAATGTTCTCAACATTTCAAAGCTTTAGTTGCTTCATATTCTTGCCGAGTTGCCGAGTTCAAGCTTGGTGTATCGACTTCCCTCTATGAACGGCATCGTAGCTATCGACGAAGTTAGGATACTCGATGGCGATCTTCGCCTTGACACACTTGTGGTACGAGAAGTCCGTTTCAGTGCCGTCGGTGCGGACAATCCAGAAACAGCGAACTTTATTAAAAGTGGAGTGCCGGTTTATCTTTGATACACCATGAGCATGACAAACGTTAGTTGCCTTCCACTGCAGACTACTCTGATCACGTATTGCTTCATTTTTCATGTCTTGGTTGGAAAACACGCATGGCGAGGTACTTACCTTGATGTAATCAATGCCGCAACCTATTTTCTCTTCGCTCTTCGGGTGATGCTGAAGAAGTCTGCGCATGGTCTTCTCGTCCTCCTCGCTCACGCGCGCATTGTCCTCATACCTTCTGCAAGCTCATTTTCCACTTCAAAGTTGCATTCTGCGATAGAAAATATCGAAACAATAACAGTAGCCGATAGCCCAGCAGATAACAAGCATAGAAGCAGGCAGAAGTAACTTCAGCCGATGAGGAGGCAGCTCACAGGTTGAAAAGAATGTTACGAATCCCCTGGACAATACCGTCCACTTCTGCGTTTTCGGGAGCTGGGCGAGGCCGCTTAGCAGGCCTCGGAGGTGGTTCGTCCATCACATCAAGCACCTCATCCCGCAGCTGGTCATTAGTCTCCTTCCGTTCAGCAGTTTCCAAAAACTTAACCATCTCAGAGTCGGATTTCGGCGGCGAGTTCGGCATGTCAATTTCGTGAGGTTTTTCTGGCTGTTGCCCACCTGAAACAGCCACGGCTTCGTCTACCAGTTCTACAGACGCGATAGCCAGGACAGCTTGACCTCCTGCAGGCCCCGTAATCATCCCAGCTTCAGAACCCACGTGCAAATCCTCAGAAGAGCTACCCAAGGGAGCAGATTCTGAAAGACCTTCCATCTTGCGCAAGGAAAAGCGAACAGCATCAATGCGCAGGAGATGAATCAGCAGCTTCTACACCTAGAGCAAAGGATGGAGGGGCCGAGAAGAACAAGAGCAGCAGCCAATTCACAAACCACATGACATGACATTTTAGAAAAAACGATTTCAATTGTGGAGATGATGACGAATGGACATTGCTCGATTGATTTGACTCAACTTCCGAGTAATCATTTCCTATACAACTATTACCTTCCAAGTAATCGTCGATATCGAAGCCTTGTAGATAGTTACATTATGATTTAGGGAATGTAAAATTAACCCCGGCAGTTGTTAAATCACCCACCTGAGAAAACCATCGTTGTACCCCCGTCCTCTGTCCCAAGGGATTGCCCCGTCTCCCGTTCCCAGCTCCTGTCCCCTATCCACAAATAGGAATGGGGGACGGGGATGGGGTCGGGACCTGGGACGAGGGCTAGGAACGGGAATGGGGGAGGAGGGGGGTCAAAATTGAGGAAGGAGAATGGAGGATGAGGTACAATGATGGTTTTGGTGGGTAGGTAGATTTAACCACTACTAGGGTTAATTTAATATTTCCCTTTTAAATAGAATAAAACCCCAACATCATAATTATAATTTATTTTTTTGTAATAAATGAAGTTAAAAAAGAATTTTTAAAATTTTTAATTAATTAAATAAAATAAATTCATTATTATTTAGTCAAAAGTTCTAATCATGGTGTTGTTTATGTAACATAGAGATTAAATTCTCATTGATCTATTAAAAAACCACAAGTTTTAAATGTGTTTTAAAGTTGAATAAAAATAATACCAATAACAATAATAATACTAAATAACATCTTTTGCTATACAACAAGGGATATTCAATAATTTAGTAATATATAGAAGAGATTATTGTCAATACATTTTTAGATGATATTTTCAATATTAATTTATTTTTTCTTGAATAAATATTACTTTGACTAATTGATTAATTATGTATGCATCAACTGTCAAGGACAAAGACTCGATGAGGAAAAATATACACCAAAAGGCTATCTCGATATAATAAGTCAAAATATAAACAAGTAGGTATATTAAAAGGAAACTGGAATGGCTATTGCCACAAGACAAGAAACTAAAGACTCTTGAACCTGGACTAGAAGCAAGAAAGGAGTTGACAAGAATGAAGAAGCCTTCACTCTTGTCTCTATATATACTATCTAACTAGGGACTACGTGGCGACGTTCTATAGGACCTCCAATATGTGTTGACTTTGTAGGACACATGCCTTGACTTACAAGGCAAGTTTTTCTACGTGTGGGCCACATAGTTAGCTTGATCTTCAAGCTAACAACATGTGTGGCACATGGCCAACTTGTTGACCACGTTTCTAATCCAAAAAGTCAATTAAAGACACCTATGAAGTCAAAGTAGCATCTAGGAAGTTTCTAGGAAGCTTCTATATTAAATATTATACAATTAACTTACTTTTATCTACTTTTACTTACTTCTACCTATTTCTATATGTAATTATTAGCTTACATGATTATGGCCGTGACATTACCCCCCCCTTCTAGAGACGAGTTCCACGAGGAGCGGTCATCATATGTTGAGGAAATCTATGATGCGACGAATTGTATTCGCCACATACTCTGATCTCTGTTCTCTTCGAAGATGATTGATAGGGCCTCTCAACCATCGGTAGTGTCCCATACCAGGGCGGGAAGACCACCCAGTTATTTGATCATTATTGAGGCCTTCATAACTTCCTTCGAATAGAATATTCGGAACACCATCAGGAGTTGTTCCTACCTCTAGCAAAATCACCAAATGTCAAGGACAAGAACTCGATGAAAGCTAAAGAGTAAGTGAGACTTTTCTCAAAAAGAAATAGGACAAAATAGAAATATGTATATTAAGAAAGAAACTGGAATGGCTATTGCCAAAATACAAGAAAACTAGAGACCCTTGAAACTAGACTAGAAGCAAGAAAGGAGTTGACAAGAGTGAAGAGGGCTTCACTCTTGCCTCTATATATACTATCTAACTAGAAGCCACGTGGCGATGTTCTATAAGACCTCCAATATATGTTGACTTTCTAGGCCACATGCCTTTGCTTGCAAGGCAAGTTTTCTATGGATGGACCACGTAGTTAGCTTGTTCTTTAAGCTTCCAACATGTGTGGCACATGGCTAACTTGTTGACCAAGTTTCTAACCTAAAAGTCAACTATAGACTCCTATAAAGTCAAAGCAGCGTCTATGAAGCTTCTAAGAAGCTTCTCTAGAAGATATTACATAATTAACTTACTTTTATTTACTTTTACATACTTTTATCTATTCATATAGGTAATTATATGTATGTCCGTGACATTACCCCCCCTTCTAGGGACGAGTTCCACGAGGAGCGGTGATTATATATTGAGAAAATCTAATATGCGACGAATTGTATTTGCTACATACTCTGATCTTTGTTCTCTTCGAAGATAGTTGATGGGTCCTCTTAGCCATCGATAGTGTCCCATTCCAGGGCGAGAAGACCACCCTGTTATTTGATCACTGTTGAGGCCTTCATAACTTCCTTCAAATAATACATTTGAAACACCATCAGGAGTCGTTCCTATTTCCAATAATATCACCAAACATCGAGAATCTCTTCCAAGGTCGTGATACCAAACGCGTTGTATCTCACCATCTATTCGAGGAAGAACATGTCGTTCTTGAGGGTCTTCATCTCGGTTGTGTCGTCTTGAAGGTTGTGACAATCGCAATGTCTCATCCGGTAAGTCAGCAAACGAAGGTTCTTGAGTTGAATCCGCTGGTTGTTGGCTCTCCATCTAATTAGCGTCACAAAATGCAAAGAAGTTACAAATAAGGATAGGAAATTGAATGTTATCTTGCCTCAATCTTGTCTCTTTTATAAGAGAGGTTTTCATCTTGGTTTTGATGGATGTCGTTGATGAAAAACTTTGACTTTAGCTGATGCATTTGCTAGATTCCTGGATGGCTCCCATGTGCGCTCACTAATATCATATCCGCACCAATGAACAAGATATTCCAGCTTATTTCGGCGCCGCCTTGGGTCTAATATCTCTTCCACCTCAAATTCTTCATTATTATCTACTTCTATAGGAGGCGGTGGCATTTGTCTTCTTCCTTGTATATCCACTGTCTTATATGGTTCAAGAAGAGACACGTGGAATACAGGATGGATCTTCATTGACTCCGGTAGATGTAACCGATATGCAACTGGGTTGATCTGTTCAGAAACAGAAAAGGGGCCAAGCCTACGATAGTCCAATTTGTCACAAGGTCGAGTGGTCTTGATATTGCGACGAAGTAGCCATACCTTATCACCCACGTTGAGTTGTGGTTGCTCCGTACGATATACATCTGCATTTATCTTTTGTCGTTCTTGAGCTTTCTTCAACTGCGCCTTCATTATTGCATGTAACTCTGACAACCGATTTGCCATATCTTCTGCTGCAGGATTATCAACTTTTAAAAAATCAAAAGTATCAAGTCGTGGATGATAGCCATAATTGGCAAAGAAAGGTGTTTGTTGCGTGGAGGAATGTACCGTATTATTATAAGCAAACTCTGCCAATGGCAGAAGGTTTGTCCAATCATCTTGTTGGTAGTTGATGGTACACCTTAAATACTGTTCCAAGACTTGGTTTACGCGCTCTGTTTGTCCATCAGTTTGAGGATGGAAAGCCGAAGATAGTTTTCTGTCCACTTTTAAAATCTTGAAAAGAGTCCTCCAGAATCTCGACACAAATTGAGTTCCCCTATCCGATATGATATCTTTAGGTAATCCATGATAGCGATAGATATTATCAATGAAAAGCTTAGTTGTTTCTTCACCTGTGATAGATTTTGTACATGGCACAAAATGTGCCATCTTGGTGAAACGATCTACTATCACAAATATAGAATCATAAGATCTTGAGCTTGGAAGATCTGTGATGAAATCCATAGAAACAGAAGACCATGGTTGTTCTGGTATAGGTAATGGCTGAAGAAGTCCGTAAGGTCGATGTCGAGGAATTTTTGATCTTGAACAAATATCACATGATTGTACAAAGTCTTTGACTGACTTCCACATTTGTGGCCACCAAAAATCTCTTGATATGAGTTCCAAAGTCTTATTATATCCAAAGTGCCCTGCTGCTGGAAAGTCATGACGTGCTTGAAGAACACGCAAACGTGCTTTTCCTTCTGGAACATATAGGCGTCCTTCAAAATATAATAGATTATTCTTGAACTCGAACTTAGAAGAATCATGAGACTTGGAAGAATTATTCTCGATATCATGAACAAGAGGGTCTGAGGACATACTGGACTGGATTTGCTTGAGAAAAGTTGAATCAACAGTCAATGTTGATTTCACTGCTCGGAGATGAAATTGCTCCGGTTTCAAGAGGACCGTTCTTTGTTGCTCAAAAGCTGCATCTCCTTCTTTTGGTGCAAAATAAGAACGTCTAGACAGGGCATCGGACAAACCTTGTTGTTTTCCTGGCCGATAAGTGATAATGAAGTCGAATCTTGACAAAGACATACTCCAACGAGCTTGACGACGATTCAACACGCGTGCTGACATGAAATACTCGAGGTTCTTGTGATCTGTATATACAGTGACTGGACTAGAAGCACCTTTTAGATAATGACGCCATTCTTGAGAGGAATCCACGATTGCAAGAAGTTCTTTATCATGGATCTCATAATTGATCTCGGCTGCTGAGAATTTTCTTGAATGAAAAGCTATCGGATGAAGTTTGTCATCTATTCCCATTTGTGATAAAACTGCACCCAATGCAAAATCCGATGCGTCTGTTTCCATAAAAAATGCCTTGGAAAAGTCAACACGATATAAGACTGGTACAGAGACAAACGATGTCTTCAAGGCTTCAAATGTTGCTTCTGCTTCTTGATTCCATTGGAATTTATCTTTACTAGTCAAGCGTGTAAGTGGAGCTGCAACTCGTGAGAAATCTTTGATGAAGATCCGATAGTAATTGGCAAATCCCAAGAAACATTGAACATCTCTTACTGTCCTTGGAATCTTCCAATCCACGATTGTTTGGACTTTCTTAGAATCCATCATAAGACCATCATTTGAAATGATGTATCCTAAAAAGTCAACTTGAGTAGTGTGA